CAGTTTCAATATTTCTTTGCAGTTTCCACTGTTCATGCTCTAACCCTAACACTTAGCAACAGTCAACCATTTGGGCTGAGGTATAATAATTGCTTGCTGTACCAATTACTCCTGAAGAATATGCACATACCCAATATAAAAATAATCCCCAATATAGGAAAGTACATCCTATATAAAAACCAGAAGAGGAAAAAAAAACAAAAAAAGGAGTTAGTTAGAAATTGCTATAATGCAGACGCCTACTATAAACTTTGTCAGTTGTCAGCTACTAGTGCATTCCAACATTTAATTACCTTCTTACTCATGAATTTTTAAAATGTTAAAATAAAAGATTTTTAACTTAATTGCAGACACTGTAATTAGAATCTTTAATTATAATTTAGATCTACAACTTTCTTTGGACAATTACACTCCTTAATGATTCTGAAATATCCGTGTGTGTGTGTGTGTGTGTGTGTGTGTGTGTGTGCATGCGCGTTCCTTTGTTTCTTAATTCTTTTTGCTACACTGCTTTTTCCTCTCAGGCTAATGCCACAACAAATTTGCATCACTGACCTGAACAGGAGAAGTTAGGGGTGTAGATTTTGCTACTGAACAGAAATAAAAGTGCACAGAAGTGAGAGTACACTGCACAGAAACAAGAATGTATCAACTAAGCAATTAGAAGTGAGCTTAAATGTATCCTTTTTTTTTCCTCATTAACATCTTGCTTCTATAAGGCATTAGTTAGATACCTCCATATTCTCTTTCACTTGTAAGTAATAATACAGGTGTGATTTCACTTCCCATCAGGATCATATTTCTATTTAGATTGTCACAGGCAACAGTCTATACTGAACCAATTCAAACTTTTACTTATTATTTATCTTACTTTCCTGAAAAAGTATAATCAAGATTAAAAGCAATTCTTTTGGTCATAATGAAAGTCATTTATCTTTGTAAAAAGTTTAAATCAAGTTCCATCTTCCCTAGTAGACTTACATTGCAAGTATGTGAGTGCAAGCCTGTATGTATGTGTGTTCCTTGGTGTAGATATGTTTTTCCTCATTCATCTTCCCCAGTTTCAACTTTCTTCTCTAGATTTAGACAATATCAAATAGAAGCTATTAAGTAACCAAATTATCTCCTGGTCCTCACTCTGCATCCTCCCTACATTACACATAATTACATATACCAATGATCCTGCATATTTGCCTCACAACTCCAAATCCACTCTCCTTTACCTTTCTTTGTGATACAGGAGTTGAATCTGTCAACATTACTCCTTTGCCAGCACATGCAATGTCCAGCTTTGTCAACAGAAGGTTGCTGAAGGGTTATTCCATCATCATATCAAGGGAAGGGTGCTTCTCTTTCTAGTTCTCTTCTTGGGTCAGGTCCACTCTATTTGCACAATTGCAAAGAATTGGCATGCTTTGAGTTTTAGTCACTAGGCAGGGTATTCCTAGAGACCTGATTCAGCAGGTATGCTCACACTCCTCACCAACAGCAGCTGCACATTCCTGTTACTGTGGTACCCTCTGGACCAAATTCACTGGCCTTGGGGGAAATTGCTCTCTCCCAAGAACCTTGTTCAAACCTTGATTCATGATGCTGCAACCCAGAAGTGGATGCTGCTTATGTATTTTGTAATTCTGTATTGCTTCTTATTCATTTATTTTTACTTTTTGTGGTAATAGGGATTGAATTCAGGGGCACTTTATCACCAAGTTACATTTCCAACATTTTAAAATTTATTTTGAGATTCAGTCTCACTAAATTGCCCAGGGTGGGCTGGAACCTTGCAACTCTCCTCCCTCAGTGACACAAATTACTGGGATTAAGTGAATGTGCCACCACACCTGGCTATTTCTTCTTTTATTGAGTCTTCTTTTAATCTTTTCACATTTAACCATCTGTTACTAGTTAATGATTCTTTATTTTGGATTTTCTCTGTTCAAATTCCTGTTGTAGATTCTATCCTCTACATGGGCCCTAATGATAAAGTCCATACCCATTTGTGCTTTTGAGAGCATCTTGCTCCAAAACCATTATTGGTAAAACAGAGAAAACAAGGTGAACAAAGATGGAAATGAAGTAGGAAATCTGACATGACCAAAGAAATTTTACAGGAGGGTTTCACAGCAGATAGAACTCTTGTATCACAAAGAAAGGGAAATGTATCATTAGGGGAAATGTCTAGGGCCTTCAAACCTTTTAAGAACTAGGTTGATTTTGAATATGTATTTCATTTTGAAGAATATTTCCTTATATAGGTACACACACACACACACACACACACACCACACACATATACACTGCTTGCACTCCAATATATGTATTCCAAAATATACAAAGAAAACTAAAAAAAAATCAAAACAATTTATTTTAATGTGATCAACTGCCATTCCACTCAACTTAATTAATATATAATTAGGAGAGTGAGCATACTGAAATGCTTACTATATTTATATTTGTTGTAAGGACCCCAAAATGATGAAGTGCATTATGAGCCTATTAAGATTTTTTAAAGTTTAGGGTTCAATACACTGATGAGATCAAAGTATCTTGAATTAAATTCATATAAGAAGTTACTTTAAGTTTGTTCTGCTGCCAATAATACCATACCTAACACCAGCTATAAATCTTCAAATGTGTATTTGTGGTTCCAAAATAAGATCAAAACAAAGAAAGTTAGAGGATTAGTCTAATGCATTATCACTTATAATAGGGAAAAATGTTTCTATTCCTTTTGCCAAAAATATGTGATCTGAATTTTTCTAAAATCCTTAAATACCAAACATGTCTTGTTAGATGTGTATATGTTTATTTGTTTATATTTTAGGTAAAATTATTCACTTTGTGAATAAAAAATAATCAATGCAGTAACTGTTACCAGTAATATTCACAACACACACAAAAATCTACAAAACTGTAAACTTAACTGATATTTTAAGATATTTTATCATCTGCCTTTCTGTTTTAGCTAACAATGAGACACCAAAATTAACCACATAAGTGTCATATTTATATAATATTCTGATAATTTTTCAATGTAGTATTTGATAAAACTTTGAATCTTCACACTTGATTCTACCTGGAGATTAGCTGTTTATACTCACTGTATCTTTAATATTTGGAAGCATTTATAAGATTAATTTATAGCCAACCAATAAAATTTGGAATACATGTGGTTGCTTAATATGTCTTTGTCATCATTCCAAGGTCCTATCCACTTAAACTGACCTATGGAAAAGTGCAGATTAATATTTCAAGTCAGGGGCCAGGTGTGTAGCTCAGTAACAGAGCACTTGACAAGCATGGAAAATTTTTTTAAAAAGGGAAAAAATTCTCAAGTCAAAATGTAAAATAAGGCAACAGAGAGGGGAAGGTCATGTTGAACAGGGTTTTGTTGGTTTAGGTTTTTTCCCTGGTGTTTCAGAAGAGTGCCAAAGACCCAGAACTATGGTAAGAGGGTGTGTGGGGGAGCTTAAATCTTCACATCCTAAATTTGGAACAATTTCAAATACCTGACAGTGTTTGTTATCCTCCACCTCCTCAAAAGTGAGGATCACCCCTCTACCAATAGCACCTCACATTTCAGCCACAGAGCTCCATTTAAGAAAAGAATTGTGACATCAGATAGTGAGTGATTCTGATGGAAGAAGCAAATTTTTTAATGATAAAAGTGGCTTTTCTGCTTTCTAATGGAAAGGCAGGAATTTCTGATAAATTGACTAATAATATTTATGAGTATCTGCACAAAAGAAAACAAAAAGGAAAATCTTCCACTTTTTTTTTCCTTTATCTAGATGGAAAATACTCAAACTTGTCAACTTTCCCCCTCAGTTATCAGAGAGAGGGCAGAAATTGGGGAGAAATGATACAGTGGGTGATGGCTGGGTTAAAAAGTGACAAGGACATCTCCTTTCATTCTCAATCCCTGGATCATAAGGAAAAAATGGTTCCTAAAGAAGCATTGGGCCCCACAGTGAAGGATCCCAGAGGTGTGAATAAATTTGTGAGCCACAAGCTTGCCAGGGAGAAGCATAGAACAAGAGACAGGTGCATCAGGGGAATGCAAAGGCAAGCAGGTGCCAGCCATGGGATGTAGCACAATCTAACAACAAGGTACTAACGAACGAAATATTATTTCAACAAAATTTCTGTTAAATAGCACTATAGGTAACAGTAGAAATGGCAAACTGGTTATTGAAATTTCATCCATAATTGGTAAGTTATCTTGAGTGATCCCTAGTTCACGAGTTTCTAACACTCTAGACCAAAGTCCCCCCCTATCAATTTTATTATAAAGAAAAATAAGTAAAGGCCAGTAACATAGACTCCAAGAATAGCAACTTCTAGTTTCTTCTGGATTGATTTACATGTGCCTACTACGTATGTAGATTGTATGACAGGCACTCACCTAGCTCAGTGCCCACTGCAAGTTTTTCTTGTATATCACTGACTATGATCACATCCTCTAAGAAGCAATTTTCTGTGAAGTTGTACAGACTCACAAAACTGCAAGCACTTGCCTTCATAGTAGAAAACTATTCTCAGGAATATGATTTTTTAAAAAAGTAATTGTTTACCACACAGTATCTAGGTGGACAAACTTTGAAAATAATATATATATATATATATATATATATATATATATATATATAGAGAGAGAGAGAGAGAGAGAGAGAGAGAGAGAGAGAGAGAGAGAGAGAGAGAGANTATATATATATATATATATATATATATATATATAGAGAGAGAGAGAGAGAGAGAGAGAGAGAGAGAGAGAAAGAGAGAGAGAGAGAGAGAGAGATCGCTAATCTGAACATTCAAGCTGATACTGTGCTCCATAGTACCAACAATTAATACCCTTATCTCTCTGTGTTTTGGGACAAACTACATGGACTTGGGACAAATATATAATTATATAATAATAAAACACTTTCTATCCTAAATTACCCGGCCCTACCCACCATGTAAAGAAAAAATACTATTTAATAAAAAAAAAAACTCACCATATCTGTATCTGAGACAGGGCCAAAACTGGTCACGTAGATATTAGTGAAGACTTCAGTAATACTGTCTAATATAGGAAAAAGAGATTGAATACAGATTTTATATAGTGACAACAATAGCAGAGAGAAGGAGTCAAGTACAGCATGATATGGTTAGAAAGACAGGTGGTAAATTTAAGAATAACTACTTTTTAATTTCTCTTCAATTTTCACAACCAATAAAAAGCTATACCTAGAAGTAATCTGACATTCTTACTGAGAAAATATACTTAACTAGAACTTTCCTTTTTAAAATTATATTGCTCTGTATGAAGAGCTTCTTGGCAACCACTGAAGTAAATTAGTTAAAATAAATATACTAGTGGTACTGAGAATAAAAAATGCTATTATTTGACATATTTCTAAATTTGATCTTTAAATATATCAACTGTCATTTCATGATGGTAAGATTTACACTTTGTAAATCATTATTTTTTTCCATAAAGCACAAAACAAACTGTTAATCATAACATAATTCATATTAATATAAAAAGCTGTATTATTCAGTAATATAAAATAAAAGCAAATAACTTTCATTAATCACAATGGATTACTTCCAAACAAGTTTACCATAAAATGTATTTAAGACTGCCTGAAATGCTGTATTGAATTGCATTCGATTCTAAAATTATGTAACTTATTAACTGTAACAAAATTAACTGAATTGCTCAATTAATCAGAGGATTTAGATCTTTGATTTTAAATAAAGCCAAATAACAAAGGGAAAATGTTCAAAGAAAGAACTTAAAACAAAAAACCTTTCATTTTTCTTGTATGAAGGAAAGCTGCATTGTTCATTTCTACCATCAGAAACCGAATGCCTCATCTTCTGTTGAACTTGTAATTTCATGCAAACAATATTAGAAAATATTTTTCATATTGTACTGAAATCTACAGCCATTTAGAGACCAAATTTTATCTGTGATGTTGAGTCAAACAAAAATTTAAAAAACTAAAATCAATTCTTAAAATACTTTGCTGACTACCTACCACATATTCTTCATAGGACTAGAAACATGACAATCTGCATGACAAAGCTATGTGATAGATTCTTGGTAATCATCTCTACCCATGTGTACAATGATGAACCCAAACGTTAACAAATGTGCCCAATGACCCACAGCTTAGTAGAGTAGAGAGAGCCAGGTTTTAGAACCCAGCAATCTGTCTCCTCAGTCCTCAGGCTAAACCAAAGCATTACAACACTGTCACTGATAAACATGAAACTAAATGTAGCTTCTTATTAACTACGTATTTCTAACCATCACAATACCATCTGCCAAAAGTACCTAGTATGCCAATAAATCTGTTTATTTAACTTTATTTCATATACTATTTCAAGCCTAAATCTGTATTTGTGAAATTTTATTATAGAATCCCTTTAAAATACATATTTGTAAAGTTATTCTCAGCTACCACCTACCCCAAACACCTGCACAGAGTCAGTTTTCTGGGCACACAATGTGTGCTATCCTATAGAAACACTGTCCAAAAGAGTACCAGGTTTGGTTTAATGTCCTGCTTTGGCTCTCTTCAAATTCTTTTTATTTTTTAACAAAGTTCTCATGTTTTTATTTTGAATTGGACCTCACAAATTATGTTACTAGTTCTGGACATAAATTATATATGAGATTAGAAAGAAATTATGAACATGAAGTTCAAAGTTGGGTTTTTCTTTTATCTTTTTTATACCAAATCAATCAAGCTAGAGCGTTTATTCAGTAAACAATTGAATAAAACTTTAGTCATTACAGATATTAATTTTAAATTTTCCAGAGAAAATAAATTAAAATGTTAAGGGAGTTTTCACCCTAAAATAATCAACAGAATTATTTTCTTTAGTCTGAGTAGTAAAGTTAAATGGGAGAGATGATCAAAATTGTGTGGCTGTGCTGATACTAAGGATGCGAATAACATTCACTATGTGCCAAATGGAAAGCAAAGGGTGAGAGGGCATTGTCAATACCTAGTGGCCACCTTGAGGTGTCAGCTAAAAAGTGGAGAAAGAAATAAGATTAGCCATGAAGATGTGAATAAGAGAAACATCTAAAGATGCAAAATATAGATACACAACATTAACTTAAGGAAAGAAATTATTCCAAAGTTTACTGACATCATATATACAGCTAAAAATATATCATTGGAAGGGATAGTCTCCCACCATCCAGGTTCAGAACTAGGAATATCAACAAGGCAATCAGGGATCATGAATATCCTACAGCTGTCAGAGCCTGAGAAAGGAGAAATCTCACTACCAGGGGGTTTGTTTTAAAGTTGTCTGTTTCAAACACAACCTGTGTCTGTTTCAAAGTTCAATCTTTGATTTTGATTTGGCTTTAGGCAAGAAAAGGGAGGGGAAGGATTTAGAGATGACATCATATGAATTTATGCTATGTGTATGTCTTGTGACACCCATTTGTCTGTCTGTAGTATCTTCTGATTATGTTTTTTTTTCTCATGTTGATTTAGAATATAGTGGAACTGCACCACTAATATGTTACTGTATTCTGATTTGTGGTACACATGTATATAAAAAAGTAAACAAAGAAACTCGTCAGGTTAGCAACCTTGATCATTCTGCCTTTTAGGAGCCAGGAGTTGCCCTCTTAAGCCCTGACCACTCTTGTACAGATCACACTAGGGAAGACCTGACTCAGAGCCTTTACACTGGCCATTATCTTTTCTTTGTAAATATTAGTTAATTGCTTCTCCATCTTTAATTCTCAATTTAAATGTCTTCTCATTAGAGCAGGGGTTCACTATCCTGCTATCCAATATAAGAATTCTAATCCCATTTTCTATCTTTGACACTCTATTTTTATAGAACTCTTTTGAACTTGCCAATATATTCATGCCTAAGTATATCTTTCACTTGATTTTTGTTTCGTGTTTGTCACATCTCCTCAAACAGGATCCACGGTCCTTACAGGACAGGTACTGTGTCATTTCCTCTTATCTTCATGTTACAAGTGCTTACTATATGGTTTGTCATGTATTAGGTGTTATTATATATTTGAATAAGCAAATTCCATTATAATTCTTATAGAATATCTATCTTCTCCTAAAGTATTCCATGAACTTTGAAAATGGTCATGCATAATTGTCACTACTCATAAGGAAAAGACAATTATTAGTGAAGGCAGAGCCCCAAACTTTTCATTGACAAAGGCAGGTTGAAAATTTAGGTAATAGATTCCCAATGAAATAACAAGACAAAAATTTGATTCTAATCAATTTTGGCAAAACCTTACCATTTGATGAACATGGTTGCTGAATAAATCATATTATTGTCTGTACTTTTCTGAATGTCTGTGATATTTCACAGAAGAAAAAGTCCCTGAAGGATATCCAAAATCAATATATGAATAATTTCAAGAAAGGTTCAAATTAATTCATGAGAAACTGTTCCTCACTGAGTAAGGCAGCATACAGTAACAAATAAAGCTTCTTTACAAAATCCTCTGCAAAACTATGAAAGAACAAATATTTTTATTCCACAAGATTCACTTGAGCTAGACCTTTGGGGATAAAAAGCAAGTGAGACAAAAAATCTCTGCCTGTGAAGAATTCACAACATAACAGGCAAAAATCATTAAAGAATAAAGTCCAGCAATATCTGCTATAACTAAGAAGATAGTATATAGATGCTCAGAGAAGCAGCTTGGAGAAAGACATCTAGGTAATTGTTAGCCTTTTGTGTTTTTCAAGGGTAGTAAACATCCCCTGGGTCAATAAAGTGCCCAGAAGATATTCCAGTCTGGGAAGTCCCTATGAGCAAAGGTCAAGTCACACAAATAGCCATGTCTAGCTCATGAACATGGTTACTCTGGGCAGCAGAGGGAATGATCAGGTTAAAAAGAAAGGTAGAAGTTGTGTCAAAAAAAACCCAAAAACCCAATGTGCCACAGTGATGAGAATATCATCACTATCTTTGTGGAAATGTGATTCCCTGGAGGACTATGAATTGGAGAGTATTGTATATGTTGTTGGAAATGCTACATTACATTTATTACAGTGGGAAAGCTGAATCAAATGAAACTGAGGACAGTATATTCCTGTGTGGAAGGAATGTAACTATTAAGACAAAAGCCAAAAAGTAAAATAAAATAGGAAAATATAAAATAAAAGGAAAACCTTGTTAGATTTTAAAAGTGATATTATTGAAATAGACCTTTTTGTTGAACTATTATGGAATTTGAGAGGCTGAAAATAAGCAATTTTAGATAATAAAACAAATGAAAGAGGATTAGAATGTGAATGGTTGATAAGGACAAGAAGAGAATAAGTAGAAAATATGCTTTTTAAAAGCTTGTCAAAAAAAGATATTTGATGAACTCAAAATAGTTGAACTGAATGGGCAATGTAATATACAATGGCAATTGAATTTTCCAAACAAAAATTTATAACATTTGTTAAGAACAAAATAATGCCTTTCATAAATGATTCATGGACATTTGATACATGCATTTTCTTTGCACCAAATCTCCTTTCTTTCCTTTCCCCAAACACATTTTTCCTTTATTTTCTCTAGATACCTATAATAGTATATACAATGTTAGAAATGGAATCATAAAAATATTTCTGAGAAATTCTGCATGCATCAAAAATAGCTGTTGATCTGTTGTTTTATCTAACGAGTAGCTCTGTTATTCTAGGAATGGAAAATACATTCTCTAGAAAAATCCTATCTCCTCCACTTCAATGACATGGTATCCAGTAGAACTATAATGTAAATCATATGCAATTGAATGAAATAGTTTCTAAGCACAAAATCATCTGCATATTAGAAGAAAGAAAATGAACTTCTTTACTTGACATTAAATTTTAGTATGTTAACCAATCTTCAATAATTATGTGAATTAATAAGAAAAAGGGAAAGCTTTCATTTATTGTTTTTTGTGGGTTTTTTTTTTTTAGATTTATGTTCACAGGAATACATTTAGTATAGCACTTCCCAAAATAAGCTAACCACATAGATGGGAAGGAAACTATCTGAGTCTCCAAATCCCCACATGTGATCTGAGATGCC